TGTCTGAATTAGGTTTTTTTTCCGATTAAGAGCCTTTGTGAAGAAGATTGTTCGCGGTTGCTGTTGTACGCGTTGGAAGTGGTCGACCAGGTCTAAGGTGAGGTCGACCTAATGTACCATTCATCGTCTTCTTTTCTAATGCGTGATTTCTACCGGCTAATTTGATATATTGTTGGGTGCAGAATTCCATTCGGTCGACCGTGACGTCAACCAGGTCGACCTGACGAGACAATTCTGCGTATTTGAATTTAGGCCACAACACTTGGATTTCTGTACTTGCGAGGTAACCCAATTGGTCGACCTAATGGGTTTCAAGGTCGACCGTTCCTGTTTTTTTGGTTATTCAACCTAAATGTCGACTTTGGCTTTGATTGTATGACTATGTTGTGCTTGAAAAGGTCGACCGCGCCAGATATCTGGTCGACCTATCCTTTTTTTGGTTTCATTTTGAACTTACTTTTTGTTGTTAATTGTTATTTTCCTGTTGGATAGGTCGACCTAGGAATAACAGAGGTCGACCTTAATGGTTGTGGTAGTCACTATTTGTCTTCCAGGTCGACCTAATACTATGTCAGGTCGACCACGTCTTTGTTTTTTGGTCAATTGTAGAAATTTGTAGTTGAATTATGATTTAAATTTTTCTTGAAATTGTTTAGACAATGACGCATGATGAGAAACTGCATCAAGATTTGGGTGAAATCATGAAATTGTTGAAAGCCACACAAGAGAAGCTGGTGGTGTGTCAAACACAAGTCGATGACTTTCAGAAGTCCATGTGTGATAGAGTGGAGCAATTGTCAGTTCGACTGACAGATATGACTGGGATGATGCATGACGGGTTTGAGAGGCTAGAAGGTGCTATCAAAGATATAAGTGCAGAACGAATGGAGAATGGCGGAAGAAATGGTAAAGGAAAGAAATTTGACTTTGGTAAAGAGGAAGAAGACCATGATGACTCTGAAAATTGCTACCATAGCATAGACGATTTATTGAAAGAGCACATTTTAAAGGTATCCAAGTATATTCATATGTGATTGAAGATATTAGTATTACTATCATTAGTGCTAATTTGTTTTGTTTATATGTTTGACAGAGTGAAACAACGAATGGCAGCAAGGGTTCCTCTCCTAAGTACAAGAGACCGCGATATGAAAGTGACTCCTACACCACTCCACAGAAGGATCAATTTGTAAGAAAAGGATTATTTAGTGATGAAAGCTGTCGCAACCGCCCTTCGAGATCGGAGGTACCGCTCGCGAACGATCGGAGTCGCCATCGACCTTACTTGGAGTGGATCGAACACCTTTTGGTCCGGTCTCGACCTTAGGGTCGAAACCGGAACTTAGTCTGCGAAATTTTAGAAATTGGGTTCGGGAGTACGGTTACGTGTGGGGAAGTGTATTCACGCCCCCACAACGCCCCAAATGGGTACTACTTAAATCGATAAGTTTTTTAGGGTTGGGTGTATTATAATTTGCGCTTTATTTATGTATTATTATTATTTGCGGGTTTCTTGATGTATTTAATTTATGATTTGATTGTTTTTTTTTAAATTAAATGTGAATTTTAGAGTCCCATAGGACGATGTGATTGGTGTAAACTTGAATTTGAAGTTACCGGTTTTCACGTCTATTGACGTGAAAAGGTTTTTTTTGATTGGTTGGACTCGAACCTATCGGTTGCCTACGTACCCGACTTAGTCGGGATCAAAGTCCACGTAGTTCGATTAATAAAGTTTTATATTTTTTAGAATTTTGATGTTTGTTTTAATCTTTTGAAGTTTTGATTTGGAAGTATTGGCTTAGAAGGAGATTTAATACGAGAGAAATTACCATAGTTATCGACCCTTGTATTAAGGATCTCCACGCAAAGTAAAATGGTGATCAATCATCTTTCAAAAGAATGTTAAATACTTTAATATTTGGGATTTTCAATAGTTTTTTTAGAATAAACTTAAAGTAAGATAAATTAGAGGACTTGTCCGGTTGTTTTAAGTTTTGTATATCGAGGGTTTAATGTCTATAAATTATGAGTAGTTAATAAGTATATATATAATTAACGATTGACCTACTGCTTAAACGTTTGATTGTGGCCATTAACGAGGCTGGGACCTCTGGTTCGAAACCTGGGGGGAGTTATTTAAGCCAATTTCGTTTTTTTAGCAGAAATCAAAACGAGGGTATTTTGGTAAATGACTAAAAACGAGGTGGCAAGGCCACGTAAAACCTGTAAAACCCTAGGGGTAAAATTGTTATCTAGCCTGTTTGGGTATATATTCGTTTTTAACAACAAAAATCGTAACCCTAAACCAATCTAATCGATCGGCCGCCTCTCACTTCACTCTCCCCCCTCGTTTTCTCTCGCCTGTTCACCTCTTCTTCTTCCCCAGAAACACGAGCTAGCAAAAAAGGATGAGCAAAACCCTAGCTCTTTCAATCGCCCCAACCTTCTTTTTTTCCCTCTCAAAACTGACTTACAGTCTCCCAAATCGAACAAAACCTAAAAAAAAGAATCCCCGTCGCCTCCCTCTCTCTCTTAAGTTCTGATGGAGACGAGGAAAAGGAAAAGAGATTCAAGCGACGGCGAGCAAGGAGAGCCGCCGGCGGTTGATGATGACGGGGACGAAGGTAAGGTCTTTTTTGGCTTGCATGATGATTTAGTTTTTTATTTGGAGTGAGGTTCGATTCTGGGCGAGGAGATTTTGATTCGGTTTTGTTCTTGTGGTATTTTTTTTGGAAGTTTCGGACTGGATCGAGCGGAGAGGAGAAGGGAAAGTCGGCGGCTCTGGACTCCGACGGCGGTGGTAGGGTGCCAACGACGAGGACTCAGCCGGCGACGTGGGGAAGAGAGCGCCACCCACAAGGATTATTTGGTAAGTTTTGTTTGGAATTTGGATGCATGTCTGGTTTTGGGGTTCGATTCTGCTTTTCTCTGGATTTGGGGTTGTTTTAAGTTTTAATTTCCTTGGGTTTCATTTGGGAATTTGAGGGTTCGATGGGGATTGAAGGAAAGAAGGAGGACGCCGGCAGTGGGGGATTCTGGTAAGCTCAAGTTTCTTTATTTTAGGGTATTCTTGTGTTGGTTATGCGTCTGATGTGGGTTAAAGCTGGATTTATTTGATGTTTTGATAGATTTTGACTAGTTCCTTGTGTTTATGTGGGGTTTTGGATTAAGGTGATATCCTATACGCTAAAACTCGATTTCAATTGACATAATGTGATGTTTTAGGGTTCTGAATCATCTTAGATTGGGGTTTGTTCACAATCTGGGCGGTGAAGTGTAATTTTTGCTTAACCTCTAATGGTGAATAATTCTGAAATGCCATGTTTAGCTTGAGGTTGCAAATTCTTGTTTTTTTTATGGATACACGACCCTCTTATTTTGAGGGATTAATAACCAGGAACTTATGTGTGTGATTAGTTCTGACCTTTGAGATTTGTTTGCTATTTGGGAGCTTTAATCGGTTATTATGATCGAGTATGGGGGTTTGTGTGTTTATGATGGCCTGTGTATTCGGATATGGGAAGGAAAGAAATTCTTATGTGGTTTATGATGGATTTGAATATGGAAATCTGTATACTGGGTCTTGTTGTGTGTATGGTGAGTAACTGGGAAACTTAGCTTAATTATGGTTAGGTGTGTAGTCCAAAATATAAAAACAAACATACAAAAACAAGTAAAACGGACAAAAGAATAGTAAATGATGAACAAAGATAGATTTATATATAGATGTAGTATTGTAGTAGGCTTAAACATGAAATATTCAATTGGAAGTACTGAAATAAATAAAACAGTAAATATAATGAACTCATAAGGAAAAGCAATGGATCACATTTGTCGATTGGTTTTGTTATTATGGTGAGATTTGCTGAATTGTAATTTGCTTTGAAAGTCGATTGTGCTCGATTGCTTTTGGAGTTTTATTAAGGTCAGATTGTAATTTGATTTGGGATTGACTGAGCTTTATATAAGAAGCTTTACATAGGTAGATATGATAGGATTATGGATGATAATGATTGGGATTGGGATTTGGTTAACTACCAACCTTCTGCTATGGTTGGGGGAGTGGCTGAAGCTGCTTATACTATTCCTGCTCCTCTTCTCCTTGTCTTGTGCTTGCGGCAGTCTGTCCTTTTCTGCTGTTCTTCTACTGCTTTTTCTCTTTTTTATAGTTGTTGTATGTGGTTTATTGCAAGGAAGAAGTGGTGGTGAAGAAGAAGCTGTCTCTAGAGAAAAGGTTCCAAGAGAAGTCCTCTGTTTATGTGGGTTTGTGGTAAAGAGAAAGAAGAGAAGTGGTTCTGTGTGTGCCAAGAGGAAGGGAGTTTCGGGAATGATCAAGAGATGAAGATGAAGGAGAGAGGGAGTCTGCCCCCCTTTTATTTTATTTTATTTTGGTATGGAACAGATGGGTTTTTATAGAAAAAGAAAACTTGTTCCCAAAGCTTACAACAGTGCCGGTTCTGGGTCGGACCGGACTGAGTTGGGTTGGACCAATATGGGTTTGGTCAGACCTGATCTCTGACCGGTTTGACTTTGTTCACTGGTTTGATTGAGGGTCTTTTGACTTGGGCAGTTTTGAGCTTAATTGTATAATTGTAATTATTAATTGTTCTAATTATGTAGTTAATTATTGTAATTGTCTTAAATGATATTGTTATTTCTTTCTTTAGACTTTAATTACTTAGTAATCAAGATTCAACCTCACAATCCCATGTGTCAAGCAAACGATCAACTTCTATCACAACCAAAATCGAACACAAGTCTAATTCGTACAGATTTGTATTGCTAATCTCATTGCTTATGGAAAACAAAACCCAACTAAAAACAAATACGACTTCAATTAGTAATTTGTTTAAAATTTGTTATTGCTAACTTTAAACAAAAACTAACATTTGTTTAATTAAATATGTTTTGCCCGGACAAAAAGTGGTGTCTACAAAAGCGATGAAGAAGAATCTAAGAGTCCTTTCGAAAAGCACGGGGTAAGTTTACGTTACATATTCATCTATAATGTGTGTTTGTGTTCATATGTTACTTTAATTTTAACTATGATTTGTAGGTCATGAAAGTGGAGGGTCTAGAAGGATTCACCAAAAATCTTCAAAATCCAGTTGAAGACTTGTATTATGTTGTTACTAAAGAGAAGGCTGGGGACAAGAATTGGGACAAGTAAGACGTTTTTTAGTACGTGTGGTCGACCGGATCGGTTATGAGGTCGACCGCTTTCCCAATAAGGTCGACCGTGACTGTGAACAGGTCGACCTGTACGTTGCAAATCACAATTGACATTCTGTTATTTTGATTTTTGCAGTTTGACCGTTGTGGACTTTTTTCCTGAAAACGTGCAATGACATTGATAGACCGTTAGTTACACATGTTTTCACCCCTGTTCTTACACCGTTTGAGATGTGGTTTCTCGTGTTTTAGATCGATTTCACGCTAGGTTGTGCTTGTTTGTGATATTTCAGGTCCTGGCAAGTGAATGAAGGTTTAGGAGCGAGTTCGGGGTCGATTGGGCGAAGATCGGGCGCGAGACAAGTCGCAAAGGAGGTCACATGGGCTACCCTGATGTTCACACGGCCGCGCGAGAGGCCAGTCTGGCCGTGTGACATTCTGCGAGAGCAGACACGAGCAGAGCAGCAGATTGACACGGCCGTGCAAGTGGCCGGGTTGGCCGTGCCACATTCGCCGAGAGCAGACACGGGCAGAAGGAAGTCACACACGGCCGTGCCACCCTGGCCGTGTAAGAAGCCTGGAATTCGACTAAGTGATACGGTGCGTTTTGCCTCACACGGGCAACTGGGTAGGCCACACGGCCGTGCCACCCTGCCCGTGTGAGTCGGGATTTCCTGGTTTTAAGCCAAATTCCGAACCAAAGAAGAGGAGAGCTGGGTTTTGGATCCCAAACACCCAAGGGACGAACCAAAGAGAGAGAGGGCGATTTGAGGGCATTCTTGGAGTGGAGTTGGAGGATTTCTTCGCCTTGGAAGCTCGAGGAACAAGCCCGGACTTGAAGACTGATCATCTGAAGATTCTTACTGCAGTCTCTCTCTTCTCTATGGAGTAACTTCCCTTCACTTAGGTTTTGAGGAACCCTAGCTATGTTTGTTGGATTGGATGATTGTATGAGTACTCTGACTTGATAATCTTGAGTTCATATTAAATCTATGCATGTTTTCATGATTCAATTCTGCTTTAGTCGAGATTATTGATTCTGCTTTGATCCTATGAGAGGGAATACCTGATTAGGTCAATAGAGCACCATAGATTGATAGTAGTGGATCGATTGCTTTAGTCAAGGGTTGATTCACTGCTTTGTATCGATTGAGAACCTCTTTCGATAGAGGGAGTCTAGTTCAGAACGCCTTGATCAGTTGTTCTAGAGAAGGATACGTCCCTCTACGCAATTGACTCAAGAGGGCCTTGTTCCTTTAGTCGAGACTCAAGGTCTAGTCAAGGATTCTCCGCATTGTGAATGAAAGTGAAACAGGTTAGAGATCATCAATCGTTAATCTGGCTAGTGGCTAGGGGGAATCATACCTAAGTGAGTTCCCAACCTGTAATTAGATTAACTTTAACTGTAGTTTGCTAGAGTAGTTTTAGTTCTTTCATCTTAATCTGATTTGCTAAATAATAAACTGAAGCTGAGTAATAGTAACTCTAGAGACCCGTGGATTCGATATTTATCACTTGAGCCACTATACTGCAGTCCCTTCCATTGGTTACACTTGGCCATTGTTAGGTGTTGTGTTTTAGAGCAGTCAGACATTATTTGAGTTCGGTCATTAGCGAGAATAGCTTGGTTTGCTCATCAGTAAGTACTATACTACTACGACTTTCGTATGAATTGTGCACTATTTATGTTACGATTTATGATGATTTTGTGTTTGATTGTTGGATGGTAGGTAGTGGATTTGTGTGCAAGGGCACTAACAATGTCTGAAAAACATGATGTGAAAGAGCCAAATGTGTGGTATGTGCCAAATATGTTTTCGGTAAGAGCCGTAATGTCAAATTATTTGTCATAACCTAGTTATTTATATTGTACCATGTCAATTCATCTCAACTAAAACATGGTGCAGAAAATGGTACGCGCTAACATGAAGATAAGACAAATTCGTAACAAGTTGATGAATGATGGCGTGGTCTTTATGCCGAATGTCAGTGCATGCCAGAAGGTTAGTCTAGTCAATGTCCCTCTATCATTAAATTTTGAAAGTGTATTTGTTTGTATTCGCTGTTTATAACATATAGTGAGTGTTTCGTTGCTAGATATTTATGCCAGTTCTTGACGATGAAGCACGTCATTGGTTTCTGTATCTCGTCAATGTCCAGCAAAAAACTGCATTTTTGCTTGTCAGTCTACCTTCAACTAGTGAGGCGAATCGTAGGCGTAAATCAGCAATATGCAAGAAATTGGTAAGTGTTTCCTATAATTTTCTGACTGTTAAGCGTCACGTATTATGCTAGAAACTTAATATATTCATTATTTGTGTGTAGTTGTCCAATTTGGATGATATTTTCAAACCGGAGCGCATGAGCAATGTAGGAGTACCAAATTTTGGAGATTTCAATTTTGATGAGCTACGAGTTCAACGGCAAAGGAATAGTACTGAGTGTGGTGTGCACGTCATGCAGTGGATGCGCTATGGATCCAAGGATCTTGATAGAGTGGTGAGTATATCATCAAACAAATAACTTGTTTAATTTACACTTTTTTTAGTTGTAACGAAATCTTACATGGCATAATGCAGATAGGAGAAGAACACAAATTACCGGCTCGAAAGGAGATTCTATGGTATCTGGCTACACATTTTGAAAACCTTGCACGAGAAAATCTTTTCAAGCATGTAGTAGATGAATGCATGGAACGAGGCAAAGAGAGACAGAGTTCAAACAAAAAAGCAAAGAAATGAAGTCGTTAAGTTACAATGTTGCATTATTTGGACCATACATTGAATTTGTATTTGCGAGATCGTTTCATTTTGGATTTTGAATGTTTATCGTTTATTAGATTTGTTATACAATTATGGATGTGACTGAATTTACGATTTCAATCGTCTAGAACAAGTGGTCGACCACATACTCAAAGTGGGCATACCCAAAGGCAGAGCACATGTCGACCTCGTGACGCTTAAGGTCGACCTATGATACCGTAGCAAAGTCAAAAACCATGTAGAACATGGATGGAATCTCGTCAATTTGGCCTTAATAAAATACGGTCGACCATTCGTGTCAAGAGGTCGACCTGTTTCACATTTATAAACAATGGTCGACCATTTCAGTAAAGAGGTCGACCTGTTTCACATTTACCCAAGACGGTCGACCATTTGTGCAAAGAGGTCGACCTTAATGAATCATGTCCTTGTACAATTAGGATTTTGTGTACTTGTCCTTGTCGAATTATGATTTTATATATCTTTCACCAATTGGATAAGGAATTCGTCTACATTATCTATAAATAGATGGGAGTCTGAAGACTTTAATCGTACTTCGATTTATGCAATTTGTTGGAGTGAAGTTGTAATATCATCGCTCTTATTGTGATCGGGTGTTGGTGGCGGTTTATTTTTATTCCGGTAGACCGTAACAATAAGTGGTCGACCTCTTTGCTAAGGTATGTCTCGTATGTGCTTGTTAATGCTTGTATGTGGTTAAATTTTTCCCACCATCCGGTCGACCACCTCCACCATCCGGTCGACCGTGCTTTTGTAATTATATGATTAGGTCGACCTTTCAGTAAATTCTGGTCGACCGCATGTTTGTTATTTAGTAATAAGGTCGACCGTACAGTTCATTCAGGTCGACCTGACGAGCGCTAATTGTGTATGTTTTTTACATTAAGTTCGTATTCCGATCGTTTCATGATGGATAACAGAGATGATACAGATGATAGAGATGATGATGAGGTTAACTTCGATGAGGAACCTAAGGATGCTCAAGAAGGAGCTATGGATAATTCAGATGATACAGATAATACGGATGATGAAGTGGTTGGGGATGATAATGAAACCGAGGGTGCTGAAGAAGAATTTATGGATGATGAATAAGCTACTGAATATGAACAACAAATTCCTTCCATGGAGTTCCAAACATTAGAAGATGCAGAGAAATTTTACGATTCCTATGCTAAAGCGAAAGGATTTAGCGTTCGACGTAGAGATCTTCGGAGGAATCGTCGAGGAGTAGCAATTGGGAGGACAATCGTATGTTCGAGAGAGGGGACTAGAGATAAGATGCATATAGATAAAGAAGGTCGGACTCGACAACATCGTAAGATGACAAGACATTATTGCAAGGCATCGTATACTGTACGCTTTGATCGGAATATGAAAATGTGGGTTGTTTCTAAGTTTGAGAGGAAGCACTCACATCGTTGCTGCAATAAAGAAGAAACTCAATTCCTTCGGTCTCATCGAAATGTGAGTGAAGGAGACAAGGCTCTGGCGATAGGGATGCGACAGTCAGGAATAAAACAACGCAACATTGTTCAGTTCATGAAGAATAAAGTTGGAGGATATGAGAATCTGGGGTACACTCCAAAGGATTTGGACAATGCTATTCAGCAATCCCGAACAGTTGACGACGATCTAATAGGAGATGTTAACCGAACATTGGGTTACTTGCAAAGTAAACATACCTCTGATGCAGGCAGCTTCTTCAAGTACACAACCAACGATGAAGGTGAATTAGGCAATCTCTTCTGGTCGGACTCCGCATCTAGAGCAGATTACCATTTTTTTGGGATGTCTTGGCGTTCGATGCATGCTACAAGCGCAACAAGTACAATCGACCATTTGTTATGATGGTTGGTGTAAATCACCACCACTGTAACATCATATATGGTTTTGCCCAGTTGGATAACGAGACAATCCCCAACTATGTTTGGTTGTTGAATACTTTTCTGGAGTGTATGAACTCTAAGATGCCCACTTCAGTGATCACAGACGGAGACAAGTCTATGCGTGGTGCCATTGCTACTGTTCTGGTTGGAGTACCTCACCGTCTTTGTATTTGGCATATTGAGACAAATGCGACAACGGCCGTTCATAATAAGGAGTTCGTTAGCGCATTCACTTACTTGGCGAAAACACGAATATCGATTGAGGAGTTTGAGAGGCGTTGGGAGCATTTGATTAGTCAGCATGGTTTGTCTGCAAATAAGTGGTTGCAGGATTTGTACGCTGACAAATTACTGTGGGCAGAGGCATACTTGAAGGATATTTATTTCGGTGGACTCCAATCAACCTCGCGATGTGAGTCATGTAACCATTGGATAAATGGGTATGTGGGAACTCAATACAGCTTGCAACGTTTTGTTTAGGGCATTGATGAAGCACTGGAGGGGATGCGTTTCACGGAGGTGCAGGATGATTATACTTCTAGGCACACGAGGTTGGTCTGCAAGCATGCCCTTCGCACTTGGGAAATGCAAGCTGAAAGTATCTACACTCATCGTACATTTGTTATCTTCAAGTCTGAACTAGAGAATGAAGCTTCTTATGTATTAGCGGAGAGAAGAACTAAATCAGATGGGACAGAGACATTCATACTGAAGAACTACATGAACCCAGATCGGATAAGGCGGTTAACATTTACTACGTCCAATCAAGATCTAAAATGCGAGTGTGCATTATTTGAATCTAAGGGGTTTCCATGCAGACATGCTTACAGTAATAAAAAATATGGGATACACCGCACTACCCTCGTCGTGGTTCAAGCTACGATGGACCAAAAATGTGAAGACACTAAATCGTCATCCTGGAGTTGGAGGTGATGTGGGAGAGAAAGTTGGTCGACTGATAAGACATGGAGGATTGGCTCTAAAGTGTAAGCGTTTATGTAACATCGCGTGTGGTAGTGAATCTGCTTTTAATCATGTCTCTAAGACGTTGGACGACCTTACTCAATGGGCAATTGAGTTCGCGAGGGAGAGAACGGACAACACCACACCGGCAAACCCTCCAGCACCCCTTCGAAGTGTGAAAGATCCAAAAATTGGGAAGACCAAGGGGACATTCAAGTCAGCACGAACTGCATCGGGCAAAATTTTAAGAAAGTGTTCGAAATGTGGGAAATATGGTCATTTTCGCCCTAAGTGCCCGAAACAAAGTCCCAAAAAACGATCTTAAATTTCTTCTATTGTTTTTTATGAGTTTATTTATATTTTAATAACTGTGATTGCATTGTAATTTCTTCGAATTATCTTAATAATTTATGAGTTAATTGATTGTTGGTTGAAATAAACAATAGCAATAAAACGGTCGACCTCATACAAATAACGGTTGACCTGAACATACACGGTCGACCGAACAAGTTAGTGAGGTCGACCACGTATTTAATTCGGCCGACCAAACCGGTTTGTTTGCAACATCCACCCAAACCTCCCCCAATCCTCTATTTTAAGGAACCCTCTCTCACTCATTCTACACCACAATCAGAACCCTATCCCACCACATCCACTCATTCTTCCTCTCCTTTCCCTTCTTCATCTTCTTCTCCATTTTCCAAAAACTCCATTTTCCAAAAACTCAAAGAAAGCTTCATCCTCATCACTTAGAAGAAGAACAAGGTATAGCTTTCACTCCTCTCTTTCATTTGAGTCAATTCTTGTCTTCTTCTTTTTGTTTTCAAAAAATCTAAAGATGTAAAAGAGGGATTTTTCCTTCTGTTCGTCAGAAGCGGTCGACCTGTTCATCATCGTGGTCGACCGCAACTGGCTTTTAATCTATTTTATTTCTGTTTTATGGACTGAGGTCGACCTATGATGATATTGAGGTCGACCGGTGAAGTTCGAGTTGAGATTTCTGGCCTTATTATTTAGATCTGTAGCTTGAAAATATGGACTTTGTCCTTCTGTTCGCCAGATGCGGTCGACCTTTTCATAATCATGGTCGACCGCATCTGGCCTTAAATCGATTTTTATTTCTGTTTTATGGACTGAGGTCGACCTATGATGATATTGAGGTCGACCTGTGAAGTTCGAGTTGAGATTTCTGGCCTTATTATTTAGATCTGTAGCTTGAAAATATGGACTTTGTCCTTCTGTTTGCCAGATGCGGTCGACCTTTTCATAATCATGGTCGACCGCATCTGGCTTTCAAGCGATCTTATTTATGTTTTATTTGTGCGAAACTAACACTGGTCGACCGCTTCTATTTATGAGGTCGACCGAATCTGTTTTGCACTCAATTGATACGAGCATTTGGGCCATTTCTTTTGTTTTAATTTAGCCGAGGTCGACCTATGATGCTTCTGAGGTCGACCTATGAAGGCAAAAGTTCGAGTTGTGCCTTTGTCTTTGAATTATTTGTGCAAAACTAACACTGGTCGACCTCTTCTATTTATGAGGTCGACCGAATCTGTTTTGCACTCAATTGATACGAGCATTTGGGCCATTTCTTTTGTTTTAATTTAGCCGTGGTCGACCTATGATGCTTCTGAGGTCGACCTATGAAGGCAAAAGTTCGAGTTGTGCCTTTGTCTTTGAATTATTTGTGCAAAACTAACACTGGTCGACCTCTTCTATTTATGAGGTCGACCAGATCTGTTTTGCACTCAATTGCTACGAGCATTTGGGCCATTTCTTTTCGTTTTAATTTAGCCGTGGTCGACCTATGATGCTTCTGAGGTCGACCTATGAAGGCAAAAGTTCGAGTTGTGCCTTTGTCTTTGAATTATTTGTGCAAAACTAACACTGGTCGACCTCTTCTATTTATGAGGTCGACCGGATCTGTTTTGCACTCAATTGCTACGAGCATTTGGCCCATTTCTTTTCGTTTTAATTTAGCCGAGGTCGACCTATGATGCTTCTGAGGTCGACCTATGAAGGCAAAAGTTCGAGTTGTGCCTTTGTCTTTGAATTATTTGTGCAAAACTAACACTGGTCGACCTCTTCTATTTATGAGGTCGACCGGATCTATTTTGCACTCAATTGCTACGAGCATTTGGGCCATTTCTTTTCGTTTTAATTTAGCCGAGGTCGACCTATGATGCTTCTGAGGTCGACCTATGAAGGCATAAGTTCGATTTATTTGTGCTAAACTTATTGAGGTCGACCTGTGATGATATCGAGGTCGACCTCGGGCCATTTAAATCGATTGAAAGCCAATTGTGACTTTCAGCAGCAGTGCAGTTCAGGACATTAGGCCACCTTGCTATGCACTCGAAGACACAAACGTTTGTGTCTTCGAGTGCATAGCAAGGTGGTCTAATGTCCTGAACTGCACTCCTGCTGAAAGTCACAATTGGCTTTCAATCGATTTAAATTTTCCGAGGTCGACCTATGTTTTTTCTGAGGTCGACCTATGATTTTCAATCGATTTAAATTTTGTACTTGAATTGTTACGGGTTTATGTCGACCCATTCTCG